CAACACTATTGTTAGAATTGCCTAGTAGTTGTTTGATGATCTGGATGCATTGAATCAGTTTCTTGTAATCTAATATGCCATGAAAGAGCTTGTTTAAGATCATGTGATGTATGTTGACCAAATGAAAAACGTTGTACATGTTCAAAATAATCTCTTAATTGATTTTTATATATTGGATGAGCACATTTTTCAATGATTAATCGAGCTGATTCTTTTGGAATTTTAGCACGTAAATCAGCTAAATCTTGTTCACTAACCATTACTTGAACTGAATGTTTATTATGATCAATACATGAGAAACCATTGGAACAAATGCTGAAATTTTTCCATCTTTAGCTATTGATGGAGTCATAAATATTGATTTATACTATAAATACAGAAATATTATTTGAATAAATCGATATTATTAGCGAGAAAAAGAAGATAAATCTTACAGTATTTCTAGTAAAATCTCCACTTCCACCAATTCCATTCATCATCTCTGATCCAAGAACATGTGTTGAATTAACATTTCCATAAATATCATCTTCTAATGCTGTATTCATTGTAATACGACCCATTCGACAAATAACTTCAGGATTATTTGATATTTCCATACGACGTAAAATAAATTTCGATTTAATGCAAAATGAAGTTTATCACTATCAATGAAACCAAATATTGAAGCTTGTATTACTTCAGTATACATTTCAATCGATTTAAAATGATTATCTCGAGCTAGAAATTAATATTATTTATTTATTTAACAATAAAAAATGATTGATTTACCTCTACAAGCAAAAACAGCATTTGCAACATTATCAACACCCGATTGAAATCGAAGTAATTCTTTTAGGATTTCCTTTTTTTTTTATTTTTATTTATTATAAATAGAATAAAAAACACAAACAAGAAATAAACTTACTTCCATGTTCAATTTCATTAAGAATAAAATCAAGAAGATGATTTGCTTGAAAAAAGGATTGAATTGCTCGGTAATTAACGAGATTGAAATTGATTTATAAAATAAATGATTAATACTTAAGATTGAAATCCATATTACTATAAATATATTCTCTAATAATTTATAGTAGACTGATTTAAAATTGATTTTGATGAAAAAATTTCCAGTTTAAAAAGGTTACCACATATGACATTTTATCGAAAAAGATCTATGATTCTCATATTACGAATTTACTTAATAGAAATTTTCTCATAATCAATTTAAAAATATGCAATTACATATGAACATTTTTGTTTTTTGATAAAAAACTTAGACATATCAATTCTGTGTTTCATTTAATTCAATATAAATATCTTTAGCTAAAGCTAAATAAGTTCCACTCATTTCACTTGAATTAATTAAATAAATTCTTCCATCAGATGTTACATTACAAGCTTCAACAATGACAACATTAATTGGTGGAAATATACCTTCTCTAATACATATATCTACTAAAACGACTTAAATGCATATCAATAAAATTAACTTTTCCTTGATTAACTAATTTTCTTAAATCTGAATGTGATTGATAAGAAATTTTAATTTTAATCTTTCTGTATGTGTTAAAACTTTATCAAGTTCATCACCAGTTGATACACCAGTATATAAATTAATTGAAAAATTTTTAGGATTTTTTAATTCTTTGAGCAAAAATGCCGGGTATTACTTTCGGATAACCAGCTGATGAAAAACCACTTGCTTCAATTGTTACTTTTTCAGGTAATCCCTCTGTTATATCTTCAGCTGACATTAATTTTGATTTTATAAACGAATTTATTCGAGAGTTACTTAATAAACATCGTTTTTAAGATTTTTATTATTTGATCACGACAAAACATTCTTGGGTTTTATTTTTAATAAAATATTGATAGATTTCGAAATAGTACAAAATTTAAACCAATTAATATGTTGATTTTAATTATTAATTGATAAAACCAAAAATAAGAATATTCTGAATAAATATCTGAAAATATCAAACAGAAAAGTCAGTAAAAATTTAATCAAAAAGTAACTAAATTAATAATTGAATAGAAATAGCAATAAAATCTTACTGAAAATCGAATGTTTTGTCTTTGAATTTCAAACTTTTCGTTGCATAAAGTTTAAATGTATATTCTATTATTTATATATTCGATATTAAAAATAATTATTTATTTAATCATTTAATTGGTTGATAATTTTCGGCATGAAGAACAAATATCTATAGAAAGTCAAATAAAAAACAAAGACATTGTTTGTAAGAAAAAAAAAATCCCGTTTGTCCTGTCTCGCGGGACAATCAGGGTTTGGGACACGAGAAATTTTGTTCCGTAGATCTCTACATTATTCTTTTATTTCTACCTTATCTAGAAAAAACAAAAACAAAATTAATTATCGTACTATTTCCACAATGTCAATTCTCTATGTGAGTTCCTCATTAGAGAAAAATCTGAAACAAAAATCGTTAGAAAACCGAATTTCTTCTTCTGTAAACATTTGAATATAATTGTCGACAATTGTGAATTCTTGAAAGACTATCAAATAAACAAAAATGAAATTCTTCAGATTTATTTAAACTATTTATTTCTTTCTTTTTTTTACTTTTATCATCAGAGAAATTTTTCATGTTAAAATCCAAATAGTTAAATAAATAGAATATAAAACAAGTAGATAATCAGTTGAACAAGTCAAATTAATTTTCGACTAAATTGATAGAGCTCTCGATGATTATCAAATTGAAAGTATGATGTTGAAATATTCTCTTGTGAGATAAATTAAAATCTATTAATTTAAAATGATTTCTAATTGAATATAATTAATTTAGATTGTCTTGAAATGAAATAATTTATCGTATATTTGATAATACTGATGTTAATTCAATAATTAATTTAAGTTATACATCTAGAAGATTTTATTACTGTCGAAATAATTATAATTCATATAAATTAAATTTTAAATCAATATCAAAAGAATATTTTAATTTTATTTCTCATATAATTCATCCAGAAAATATAATATCATTAAAATTATTTGGTGATGATTATACACCTGGACAAATAAAATCATTTATTAAAAATTTTCAATTAAATAAATTAAATCGATTAAAATATTTAAAATTAATTAAAATAAATGAAAATGATTTAGAATTAATATTAAAATATCTAATAAATAATCGTTTAAATTATCTTGAAATTGAATATCGACAATATTTTACAATATTAAATCAATCAACAATAATAATTCTTCAAAATATATTAGCATTTGAAACTCTTCAAGAAGTTATTTTAAATATGAGATCTTATCAATATGATTTTGTTCAATGGCCACAATTAACTTATATTCAATATATAACTTTATTTAATTCAAATATTTATCAATTTAGTCAAATAATTGAAAAAGAAAATCAATTTAAATCACTAAGACTTATTAATTTTACAATGAAAAATTTCAATGAAATAACATTTTAAAAAAATTCTTTAAAACAATTAAAATCATTTAAAATAGAACAAACAGAATTATTTATGGATAAAGTTCAATCGATTATATTATTAATGAATGAACTTATTTATCTTAAAATTGAAGGATATACAAATATAATTGAAAATATTTTTCGAAATAATCAATTAGAAGAATTTTTTCAAACAAATTTTACTTATTTAAAAACATTTATATTTTTTATTCGTTTTTCATCAAATGAATTTTTAAGAAATAATTTAATTATTGATTCATTAATAGAACAATTTCAAAGATCTTATTGGATATCAAATTTAAATTGTTTTATTAATTGTGATTTAATTAGAAATTCAAATCAAATTCATTTATATTCAATACCTTCAATATATAATTATTTTAATCAAAGATTTCATTTTGTTTATCAATTAGAATTAAATCTCAAAGATTTAGAAATCGTATCAATGCAAATAAAGGTTTGCCTTTCTATTCTATTTTCTCTCTTATTATATATATATATATATAACCGTATTTATGTGTACTTATCGCACTTTTTATCATAAATGCAGACAAGTTTATTTCAGCGACGTTGTATTTACGGATGTATATACTCAATATCGATATAAATATTGCGGAATCCGGACAGTTGCCCCTGAATCGTGTGGCTACCTAATGGCATTAAGTAGCAGCGTTCTCCATCGGATTGTGAATTCAAACCTGTTAAGTTCGCTACCATGCATACCCATGGGAAAAATTTCGTTACTTTTAAATGCTGCGAAACGCATTAATGCTGACCGGTTTAACGCATTTTGCAGCTGCTAAATCGGATAAAAACGCCGCGAGACGATATACTTTTCGCTTTCATCCGAGAATTGTGGCTCCAAAACGCGTTTTAAGTAAGTAGAAAAAAGGGTCGTATACGTTTCTCATCATGGGAAACGCTGCGAACGCGTTAAATCGGTCAGCATTAACGCGTTTCGCAGCGAACATATCCTAATTTTTTATCCCATGGGTATCAACTCTAATGACTATAGCCATTAGCTAGTTCGATTTGGTGCGTTTTTTGGTTATACAGTGTATGACACACATGTTTCGAATCGATAATACAGAAGAGACGTCCAAACTATCCTGCCTAGAGGAAAAGTTTTTGGGTTCAGAAATCCTACGTCATGAAGAGCTCTCACTAAAGACGGAATGAATGACAGAAGTAGATTGAAGAGAAAGCCTTTAGTCGCTCACCCTCATCTTTACATTTACAGCAGATCGCTAACCATTAAAGCGAATCAAACGAGTTTTGAGCGAACGACTATACGATCTGGTAAAAGACTCACATACAGAGTTCAAGGATTGATTAAAATACATCAGTCTGTTGTCTATATAGGAATTTTTCAGTTCTGACCAACCTTTAATTCTTGGTTGTTCTTCTTAAATGTTATTTTTGTCACTTATTCATACATCCCCATCGAAGTAGCTTTGTAAGCTAGTATCCGGGGAGCAACTGTTCTAAACTCAAATATTGCATATGTTTTATCTCATTCATAGTTGAAACAAATATTTTCTAATCAGAATCCGAAGTAAACAAGTTTTCTTTTTTTTTATTGTTCTGATAACTAAAAGTTTTGATTTCGTTGAAATTTAATTGATTATCGAAGAAAGTAAATCGTAAAAGGTTGATTTTCGAAAAGATTCATTGAAAACTTCCAGTTGCTGCTGAATTTCATGCTTGCTCACACATCTTTATGATTGCTTAAGTCTACACTGTTAGAATAATCAAAATAAACAGAAAGAATTCGATGACAAATTGTAGAACTCTACTGTCTAGAAATGTTATTAGTAATTGTTGATTTAATAAACATATTTATTTTAATTTGAAATTCAAAAAAAAAGAAACATATTTATTTGTTTAGAATGATGAAGAAGATAATCGATTATTTCCGAATTTAAATTATTTAAAATTAACAGTGAATGGTCAATGTTCATTGAATTGTTTTAAATTACTTTCAAAATTAGTTTATTTGAAAAATTTAGAAAAACTCGTATTAATAATATGTTTTCGTGGTAATTATCTTAATGTAATGTTAAAAAATTTTTTAATTTTCTTAAAAAATTTATCATATGTTAATTCAATTGAAATATTTAATCGATGGCATAGAATTTTTTCATTGATTGATATTAATTATTTTTGTTCAATGATTTCGTCTAATATAAAACATCTTGATATTGATATATTCGATATAGATCATATTGAAATTCTTATTGATAAACTTGAAAATGTATCAAGTTTTAAATTTAAATTTGCATTTGATAAATCACTTTATATAAAACAAGTTCTTCAATTATTAATAAATAAAATATCTGATTCAACATATATATCAGATATTCATTATTTATCTATTTGGATATCAAGACAATTTAATCGAACTATGTCAAATAAACGTATCAAATTAACAAATTAATTCTTTTGTTTTTCATGTTTGTAAATAAACGATTAGACTTAATAGAAAATAATTCCCATTTGACAAAAGAGTACTTGGGAATGATGTTTAACGACTTCGAAAAAAGCGGCAATCAAGATACAGATTTGACTAAAGGATATTGGTGGAAGCAGGATTTCTATCTAAAGAAGCTGAGTTTCCTCTTGGCTTGAGGCATCCACGGCTTTAAAATGAGCAATATGGGTATGAGTCTGAATGTTGGTGTCATAAAAATCAGTTTAGTAACCACCTCCATCGGCAGTAGCATCCACTCCACATCCCAAACCACACCCACACCAGAAGCAACTCCAAATTACAACATCATCATCACTCCATTAGAAGAAGAAAGTAATTACACATTCGTAGAAATGTTGAAAAATATGATATTTTTCAAAAACTGACATTTCGAAAGTGTCTACGAAATGTTTTCATTTAAGAAATATATGATGAAAATATTCAAACAAGGTAGATAGAATACTGTAGAAATGTACATCTTTGCTCACTGTCCCTATGTTATGAAAATTTATAATATCCAATCATATAGTTCTACTGTAGAAGCATCTTACAATACTCTAGAGGTAATCATTATTATCAAGTACTATATACTTGCACATTTGCTTAACTGTGTTTAATAAGTATCAACAATATCGATATTAAGATATTTTTATAAATGTGGAAAAGTGTAACAATATAATACATAAACATCAGGTTGAAGAAAAGGAATCCACTTGATGTAAGCAAATACAACATTTGCTTTTGCATTGTGCGCATTACAATTGATTCACTGACATAAAAACTAACATGTCAAAAGAAATGTCTTAGCTTTCTTCAAATAATTTGTCCAATCTTCTGTCGCAGAATACTTGAGTATCGAGCTATTTAGAAATAAACAACAGCATGGTGTAGTTGCTCGATATACCTTTGGAGATTGTCTGATATACTAATACTAATACTCGATTTGAGTGTGGATGTTAATGTTTCGTTCATTCGTACCCACACCCGAACTAGAATTTTCAACAAACAGAACCCTTAAAACGTGTAAGATATGTTCAAAATTCATTTGTGGTAAAACTATTATTAACACCTAATTAGCAACTACTAATCGAACCTTTTACAAATTTTACATCTTGACATTCTCAAACGATATTTTAATCGCTACCTTATTATTTGTCATAACAAAATATCAAATAAGTTAAAATGAAATCTTTTCGAAATACAAACTTGTATTGGTGATATTTGTCAAAATTCTTTAACAATTTTATCAATGATTTATTCATCAACTGTAATTAAATGCGTGATTAATGTTTTTCTCGATTATTATTTACAGCTCTTCATACTTTAAGGATGAATGAGAAAAAGCAAGCATTTGGTCCAATGTTTTGAACTATTCACTGAACAACATACTATCTGAGATATGCACAACAGCAGCCAATGATTATAGTATGTGGTTAGTACGTAATGTATGATGCTCGAGCGTTTCGACATAGAAACTGTGTATTAGACTCGCCATCTGTTCAGAGTTACAGTTGGTGATTAGTAAGAAATGAGTGATCACTTTAGACGCTTGTCAATTATAAGAAAACTTTCGTTATTCATGGCATTGAAATCGTACGTGTTAGTATGAAATTTTCAATTTTTGAATTTGTGTCAATGTCAATTTAACAAAAATGCCTTGTTTATCATCGCATGTTTTTACATTAAAAAGTGAATCTAATTGAAGCTCTTTTAAGTTTTATTATGGACAGAAATAAACTTATTAACATATGAATACGCTGTATTACACTCATTCAACAACATGAATAGTTTATGTACCCATCCTTGTAACCGTGAAAGTGTTCATTGGAATCGTTCTAGAAGTTGATATGAATGGTGTAACTTGATTGCTAGGATGGAGCCGAAACAGCTTCCTTATAATATTCATCAGTTCTTTTCTGTATAGGCTAGCCGATAGAAAGTACAAGATGACGGATGTGGTATATGACAAACTGAAGATAAGCCTAGTTAGGTGAAAAGCAAAGTAATACTCGATGGGATTTAAGTATTGAACAGGCAAAAAGCCCAAAATATAAATTGCAGAAAATGGTGTAGAAAGTAAAATATGGCAACCCACTTGAGCAAGAAGCATGCGAGTAAGTTGATGTTCAGTGCGACGAGATCGTAAAGATGTAGTAGGAAGAGCACGAAGCGCCTTTATATTGTGTATGGTCAGAATACCGAAGGTTAGCATCAGAATTGGAGGGATAACACTTAGAATAGCTGCTTGAATGATCGGATACACACGACTATAAAGTGTTGTTGATAAAATGCGACATGAAATCGCTTGACCTGGTTGTACATTGAACAGTACCAAAGAGCTAATGAAGAAAAGTGCTACAAAGGCGAAGACGGATAAAATAGACCATCGAGCAACAATCAGATTGCTGAGATTTCGTCGTTGAACATTTGATGAACTGCTACAATATCGATCGATCGAAGCTAGTACAATAAAATACGGTGACACAAAACTAGATACTTGTTGAATATAAAAGATAACTTTACACCATAATTGGGAATTACTAGTTGGATCTAGTTGATAACCAAATGCCAATAGATTAAACGTGAAAAGAAAGATTGAGAAGAACAGATTGTTGCTAGCAAATGCGAGAAAATAACGAGAACATGGGTAATTGTACAGTTCAGATCTTCTGAGCACAGCGATATTGAGCGAATTTCCAACGATTCCGATCACTATACCTGGAGGTAAGGCTACTCGTATGAGTAGAGAAATGAGTTGAATGAGTGAAGTCATCAATGGATTCTTTCGATTGAGTTGATCCTAAGAATACAAAACGTTCCTTATTACATGATTTTTCTTAGTTTCATATGTTGTTCATTATCGAATCTGTTCGTAAAGTCAACCTACAAATATTTTTCCTAGAAGAAAAAGTTACTCTCGTTCAGCCATTGAAAGCGATAGGATTACACGAACTAATCGTAGCATTTCACAAAAATCTTACGATTTCTGTCTCACATGGTAATAAAAAGAAAGAGCAAAGCGATTATTATTTCATATATACCTAATGTTCGATCTCATATAGATTGGTCATTTGTAAAACTAAGAATAAAATCTATGTTAATCACAAATCATCGATCAATTTAGAGTTTTAGTTAATCGATGCTTCCTTTTTGTCGTACGGTTTGTGGTTCAAAGCTTTAAAAACTAATAAAGACATATTAATGCTAATGCGGATCTGATTGAACACCAAATTAACTCTACACTTAAGCGTCAAATCATGTATGACATTGTAACATATGAAATAATATTCTATTTAATTTTTTTCTTCTTACCGTGCATATAAGGATTCTTAAATTTTCAAGACTACAGCTTAGCACAACACCGAAAAAAAAACCTTTCTAGTTCCGACGAAAATATGTCCTACCGTGCAATCGCTCTTTATGTTAGAGTGTATTTTACTATATATTTTGTAAAAAAAAACAGTCACTCTCTCGGTCATTCAATTTAGAAAAATAAAATACAACAGTTTCTCGTCACTTGAATATTTAACAAAATAAAATATTCGAAACCAGATTCGCTCTTGGACAATTCCAAATATCTGCTTCTGAGTTTCGCTGGCTAAATATTTTTCAATAATAACACTCTGTTGTTTTTTGAAAACTCAATGACTGATGGAGCAAGCATTTCTCTATATAACCTACGTTTAAATATTACTCTTCCATAAAGAAAGAATTATATAGTGCTACATTTTTCTATCGAACTCAAACACCTTCTTTTTTTTTATCCCTAAAGAGCTCTATTCAAGCAAGTCATAAACAGTTTGTTGTGATAATTTTTTTAATTTCTAAACGATAATTACTTCTTAATGAAAGCTGTCATTTGCAAAATGAGTATATTTATAAGTTGAACACATAAATGGTATCCTGTAATGCCTGAGGATAGATTGTCAAAGACATTTTTATATTTTCTCTTGACGTACAAGATTGAAATTTTTTACTATTACATTATATATCTAATCAAAATTTTTAATTTTTCAAAGTTTTAGCTCTTTAGCTAAAACTGATGTTGAAACGCATGAACAAGATTAACAAACATGAATTGTTGTACTAGACTTTTGTAATATTTTTAGTATGTGTTCAATCAAGACAAAGCGATTAAGATTTGTTTTAACTATTTAGGAATACATTTATATCTAAAATCTATTAGATTCAATGATAAATTTTATCGTAAATGTCCATCAGTTACGATAACAGAAAAAATCATAAATAGTTTGTATTAAATTTAAACCATCTTCAAACGACACGAAGTATTGCCGGCATGGTTCGTAGCAAAATAATTTAATAAACGTATAGAATCAGTCAATAGTGATACTAAATTTGTTGGCGTATAAAGAAATGAGAATGCGTAGAATACACTGAGGGGAATAACTCACGGATGTGTTTGATCCATCATTATAATTAGAAAAAGAAGATAGACAAGAATGGAAAAAATTTGAGGGTGTGAGTGTGAGTGGACGGGCGTGGATGTGGGTGTGGGTATAAATCGCCTCTACACGTATACCCACACCCACCCACAAAACTTCGCCTTAAAATGTGTGCTCACTATTCTTTTTGAAAATACATGTGAGTTTCACAGAAAAATTTAACAGCTATGACGACTCGTTTGAGAGATAATAGTTATAATTAATCAGGGATCGTCTTTTGTATGACATAATCGGGAAATACGTATCCTAGTATCAGAACATGCAAACTTCTCAATTGAGCTCGTGTTTTTATTACATAAGTTATAGCACATTAAGAAATGAATTCCATTTTATTATGAACGTGTTCACACTATACAAAACAAACGTGTTCTGAAACTGTAGAAACGCGTTCTTCTTTAAATGTTTTGATGTGTTCTTCAAATGCATATTCTCCAACAATAGGAACTAGTTATCCTTGAACGAACTAAAACGCTTCTATTGAGAAAGCGTTGCTCTTGATCTGAGACATGTTCAGCATTAACGTGTTCTTGATGATAGAAATGCGTTCGAACACGTCTGAATAGTTCAATTTAAAAAAATCGCTTTATTGGTCAGTAGAACATGTTCCATTTTTTTCGAAAATGTGTTTCTACTCGTTCCTTTTTCTTATTTTTTTTTCCATGGGTACTAAAAGATAAGTACCAATCAATCATCAATTCGTGCATACATTCCACTTTAGTCAGATATTTCAGTTAAGTATCAATGTGAAAGGATGATTTTTATAGTAGAATCTACTTAAATGATATCGGACTATTTCTTTTGAGATAGTCGTTTAACAAGTTCAATTGATTGGTTGAGTTCCTTATGATTAGGTGGTAGTTTTCGATAACGAATGTTTAATGCTCTTTGAGCATAGTCAAGTGCTATGGTACGCTCATCATCCTGTTCTGCATGCAATAGACTCATCTGATAATATGTGCGAGCAACAAATGGATGATCGTTTGATAAGAGTGATTGACGCATGTGTAACGCTTTCGTGTAATAATCAAGTGCTTGTTCTCGATTGCCTAGGGTATGATGAACCAAACCCATTGTGTGCAATGCTTGTGCTTGACCTGGATGATCAACTGGCATCTTTTGCCTGTAGAATGTTAATGCACTGGAAAGGTGAGCAAGTGCGCGTTCATATTGTTTCTCTTGCCAGTAAGCATAGGCGAGTCGATTTGAATCCATAATCATTTCAATATGATCGGATGGTAGAAAAGCGCGATGGATGGCCATTGCTCTTTCGTAGAGAAGTACGGCTCGTGTCGATTCTCCCATTTCTGAATAGGTAGTAGCAAGTCCGGCCAATGCACGTCCGTAAGCCATGCTTGATTGCGGTAATTTTGGTTTTTGTAGCAGCAGAGCACGTTGGAAATATTCAATGGCTTTCTTATGTTTGCCTATAAATCGATAAAGTCGTGCTAAATAAAAATATATAGTGGGATGATCCTCATCATCCACAGATATTGTTCGCAATAGACGATAAAAATAATTCATAGCTGCAGAGTAATCACTTGATATATCGGATAAAAGATGACCAAACATCATTGTTGGAGATGTATCAGTCAAACGTCTGTTAATATATGCACTATAATCTTGACGAAGTTGAGCCATTTCGGATGATGAAACCATTCTAATGTGCCATAAATAATGTTCAATATCATACTCTGTGTTGGTAATAATAAAAGTAGTACCTAAATCGAAGAGTAGCTCTTTCTCGTCTGGTACAGCGCTATAATCAGACACATCAGCCACAATTATTTCAGACGAATCAGTCAAATTAATATCAATTTCGAATAAAACAAATTGTTGCTTATCATCACGACTTCGACTAGGTGACATACCAGTCGTTGGATCAATACTAATGAATAGTTGAGCAACATTTAAATGTATCGAAGACGACATATATCCATTAGTTGCTACCAATGTACCGACACGCAACTCTTCCACCTCATTCTTGCTGAGTCTAGCACCACGATAGACACGAAATGGCATAGTATAACGAGCTCTTGTCAAAGTCGCTACTTCTTCTAGACGCGTACACAAATCGGCAATAAAATACCGAAATGTATACAAACCGATTATATCTTCACTACGCAGAGCTTTGTTGACTATGCGATAAAGAAAACATGGTCTCGTATACCACTTAATGGCATCAGCTGAACAATAACTGTGTTCAAACTTATCAATTACGACTAATTCTTTGTGCTTGCCACGATAATACGCACGGCACTCAGCAAGCATTTCTCGTTTGGCTTCGAATGAATCATGAGGCATCGCTAAGAGAAGAGCTAATAAAGAGGAAGAAATATAAATAATACAAAATTTCTTTTTCAAAATATAAAACAGATATTCGGACGAATAAATAGACTAACCTCTGTATGAATGGCTCCACACGAATGGACCTAGCTCTCGGCGAACATCCCGCAATGACTTATCCTGCTGATGAAATTTAGTAAACAAATCGTCATCAGACTCATCAACTTCCTTAATCAACTGTTGTAATCGAATAAACATCGATTCATAATTGGTAAATATTTCATTCATTTTCATGGTGTTTTCTTCGATATTCGTTGAAAAGTCGGTCTTAGAAGAAAGGATAAGAATCGATTGTATCTGTCGATATTGGTTAAGTTGAATAATGTCAGTAGGATTAATCGATGCTTCTTTGTTAATGCTACCACTATCATCGGCAAGAACAACAACAACAATAATGCGTTCATATGATCTTACTTGTTTAAAATATTTTATAGATTTTAATATGCTCGTATACCAAACAATAAAATGATTGTGAAGTGAATCTACATAATTCATATTTTCGCCATTATTATCAAATAATCGTGATGATGTACAGGAATCTTCTATCCAAACAATAGTGACGCTAGGTCGTATTGTCGGTAGACGACGTAAAGCAACGTTAACTTTTCTTTGATCAATAGATTGAGGCATTTTAAAGAGATAGAAAAAGCGGTTTATTTTGCTCTAGATTTGCTCATCATCAGTTTATTGTAAGATCACTACAAAATGTAATTCGACCACTCGTTCGTTTGATCTTTGTGACAGATAATTCAATACACTGAGTGTCTATTAAAAAATTAAAAATTAAAAATCTTTCCTATCCTTTTTTGGATGATCTACATAATTTGCTTATTTCTATCCAGCTTTTATTTCTCTTTCAATCATATCACAATATTGTTACAAATGAAAAGATATAAACTAAACTCGAATTGGCTACCTAATAAGGAATATATACACATATGTATTGAAGTTAACGTCTCTTTCTCTCCTCATACGATATAATAGAGTTGCCAGCAGGCCAGGTTTTTTTTCAGCCTGACCTGCCCAGATCAGTACGAACGGCAGGCCATGCTAAGAATAAGATGCTTGGCCTGGATCTGGCCTGACCTGCAGGCTTTTGAGGGAACAGAACAGATTTATCAAATATTTTACTACTTTCATGGATAAAATTGTACAATGTGCATTAGACTTCTTTTTATTATCTCACTCTACTCGTGATCGCATATTTCTCTCCAGTGAACATGATAAAATTGCGAACTTCTCCAAGAAACAGAAAATCAAAGGATAAACTGCTGAAAAAAAAAAGTCTTGATTATGCAGAGAGTTATTCCTTCAAGCCCATTCTACTTTCATCAGAGTTATTCTATAATAGTGAAAAACATATACTGTGATAAATATAACATAAAAATTGAAAAATAGCAAACAGCATTCATCCAGATCAGAAATGTTTGCTCAAAGATGCTCATTAGATTAGGAAAATTTCAACTCATCACGATTTTTGTTTTCTGACTTTCGTAACGACAAAATCAGGGTTTTCGTAACAAAAAGTCAGGGGTATCGTAACGAATTTTACAGAGTGATCGTGACCGATGTTTTGATATGTACCATTTTAGAACATCACATCCGCAAATACAGGCATTTCGTAATGAGTTTTGCAGGGTTGCCACAAATCTCTTATACAAGTTTGTCGCACTATACTTTATTGGAGAAATATGAGTGATAATATACAGGGGCAAGACGATTGGTTACGGCAGCTCTGCTTTTTCGTTACGATAACCCTGTACATCTAATCCAAACACACTATACTTTTATGTAATCCCTAGCAATTCTGAATTGAAGGAATTTTCGAAATTTTCGAATTCCTAGGAATTGATTCCGGGGGCGAAACTGATTCCAAAATATCCAATATTACAGAATAGGATGCATTCTCGAATACATATATACAACGGCTTGTAATAAGAATAAAATATACCAACTAGAGTGATATAAATAAAGTAGAACGACAGAAGATCAGTAAGAAACAACGTTGATAAGGCAAATAATATTGAATCGTACTAATAAATATTCTATTAGAATGAGTGTAAATCAATATATACAATAGAGATAAGATGAGTGCACTTTTCTTCTATCTGCTCTACTTATCTTTGTAATGATTCCTCTTCTATTAATAAAAATTTTATGCGTCATTCACGTACGACATAAAGGTTGCACTTTCTTTTTACTTCGAGTCGATGTGTGGATTTCTCACACTAGAACAAGTACCATTGTTTTGTTTAGTTTCACATCACTCTGCTTTTATTCTCGTTTTTTTTTATTTTGCTCTCTTCGTTATTACACTCGAAAGTGCGTACAGGAAGTCATAAGCATTCACAGGTGTTTGATTATATGATCACAAACGGTAGTCATGCATATAGAAAGAAAGCAAAAAATAGATTCGTAAGATGCCACGTTTGATAGATAAAAAAAATGATGAAGAAAAGGAGTAAAGAAAAACGAGAAAATGAAAGTAACAAAAACTGGATGATGTAAAAAAAAGGAAAGACAGAAAATAAGGTGGAGAAAGAATAAACACTATTTTGAGATGACGGTGAGAGTTAGGTTGAATGGAAATAGAACTATTCCATGGCAAATGGTTTGTTATCCATTTTACCGGAACGCCATTAGATAGATTTAAGATATAATATCTATTATATAGTAACTCGTACAAATTTTAAAGAACATTTGAATTACTAAGATACAATAACCTTTATTACTATTTCTACATTTTTGCATGAACAGAATTAACAATATATAAAGTAAGTATAATTATATGTGTCAATATCTAATATATCTACGATTTCCATCACATAGGATGGTAAGTAGAAGTCTTTTATATTGTTAGATCTTGACATATACAATTATACTTATTTTATATATTGTTAATTCTATTCATGCAAAAAATATGCAAATAGTAATTAAGGTTCTTGTATCTCAGTGATTCAAATTTCTTTTATTGTTTATTCGAATTACTGTATAAATAAAATAGATATTATATTTTAAATCCATCTGATGAAGTTCTGGCAAAAGAGAGGGTGTGGGTGTGGATGTGAGTGGGGTAGGCATGCAGCGAACCCAAACTCGGATTCGGAGTGCGGACTGAATGGTTCGGGGTTCGGATTCGGTCTTAGGGTTCGGGTTGGGATTCCTATATTACAAGATAGTGCTAATAGTAATACATGATTAAGAGCAAAATTTTCCATCCTAATTGCCTTCCAGGTAGGGATGGACCATTAACATTAATATTAATGTTAAATGTTTTCATTAATATTAATGACCTAATATTGACGATTAATGTTTGATGAGAACATTAATCATTAATATTCATGAATGAAGTTTTTAAAGGAAGACATTAACCATTAATATTAATGGTTAAGTGAAGTTATTAATTAATATCGGTAATTAAGTCCGATTAAATAAAATGGTCCACCCCTAGTGTAAAGACTTTTTATACGCAGATTGTACGTATTTGAAGTTGTTCTTACGATCTTTTTTTCGATTAAATTTTTGCTCTTTATTCCCTAAAAGATATCTGCAGGTTTCATGTAAGCGAGCGTCTAGGTAAGTCTTCCTCAATAAACAGAAACTTTTAGTTCTTCCCCCCACAACAAATGCACATTTCCACTATATTTTACGCATTTTTTTGCAAAATTTTCTTGAAAATCTCCATTTATATGCCTTAATTCGCCATACACCTCTCCCAATCTTTGAAACTTCGCGCGGCGACTGAATATGTGAAACATTGATTTATTGAAAAAGTCATTTTTACAATCAAAACAATGTTCTAAACTTGTGAAATATCTGCTTGAAGGCAAAAGATAAATAAATAACCCATAAAATATCCCATTGGTACATAAGTTCTGCCCCTTTTTTTGTGTTTTAGACAAATTTAAGGTCTTCCATCTCATAATTGAAAAGTGATAGGAGTCTGAAACTTTTAGTGTAATTAGATGTCTTTGACTGCGAACTATACTAAAATTTTCAGACTTCTATCCCTTTTCAATCACGACGTGCAAGGCGTTAAATTTGCCGAAAACATAAAACAGCTTACAGAACTTGTGTACCAATCCGATAATTGTTTTCATCAATCTTGCAAGATGTGTGGGGTGGGTGTGAGTATGGGTGTGAGTGTTCTCTCTACTGATTGATACTCACACCCTTCGTCGCTGACCGAAATAGAAAAAGAATTGAAAAACAGACATGGCAAAATTTGTTACTAAGAGAACTCCATCAACACGTAAAAATGTATTTCTAAAGAACGCTATCGATTTATTGTTTTACTATTTATACGATTCATTATTTATGGTCAGCTGTCCTTATAACTGTAATGAATAAAATCAGCGTATCGAATAGACTAGCGGCTAAATTTTTATGCTGTCTTCATTTTAATCACATCAAAACTTGAAAAACAACGAAGTTCACAATCAGGAGGAAGTCATTATGAAACAAAATTGTCTGTATATCCTCATACAAAATTCAATTTTATGTCACCGATTTTGTCATGTTGACTGTCAGAAATCTTTGACTAATAAAATCAAACCTTCTAATGCATTCTGTATTGTATACCACGCCATTGAGCTAACCGAGATTTATCTATGTTTTATGTCCTCAAATAGATATGGTTATAGTATTTTGATGGAAAATACTCCATTCTTTTGCTCATATATTTGTTCAATCTATACGAGGGTGTGGGTGAACATGTCAAGATCTCATACCCACACCCAATAAATAAAGTTGCTTTTCAAATCTGGTCCGTCAGAGATTCAAATGTAGGTGAAATTAGCAGCTGATTCGAGTAAAACCGTCGATGATTCATCCAGGAAGTTGTTTCAGAGGTGTCATTCTTGTTCCAAGTATAACTCACTCAGTTCTAATCATGAATCCAAAACAAATTGTTACACCGTTGTCATTGGATCTGAATCCAGAATGATGAGATCAAGGCAGATTCATCGAAATATTTGTTTAGGAAAACGTAAATGAGAGAGAAATTTTCGATAGGTTTCATATTTCTGTCTGATCAATGTTTAATTCACTTTTTTTCTTTCGATTGTTTTGCAATGAAAAAGAAAAGCGGACTGACATTTGTGATTGTATTATCGATAAAAGATGGAATTCGTAGAAAATTGTCGAGATATTCTGACGAAGAGAAATATAATATGAAAATTTATATCTGAAGAATCTTTATTTATAAATTTGGATTGGAAGCATTTCATGAATCGATAGTAACTTTAGCAGTGAATTGTTATGATCATGATGCTTTCAAAAATAGAAGATCATCGAATACACTCGAAACAGAGACCGAACCGGGGTGGGGACGGAGAGAGAATTTGTGTGGAATAGCGGAGCGGGGCGGGGGCGGGAAGACAAAAAGAATTAGGTCGGATCAGGGCAGGGATGGGACAGGGCAGAATGAAACAGATTCTTGGAAAACTTTCTTGTTCTTCAGTTTCACATTCAAAATACGTATATGCATTAAGGAAGAGTCGATGAAAGTCGGGGCGGGGTCGAGGAAGCAAAAAAATAAAAAGCGGGGTGAGACGGGGTCGGGTGGAGAAAGCTTTCGACGGGGCGGAGCGGGGAATGAAAAATCTGCTCCGTTTCGGCCTCTGATTCGAAATGATCAATACAAATTGTTCTTTCGATTTCGATATTTATATTTGACTTGTTCGCTACTATTCTGCAAAATAGAATTCACCGACGAAACATCGGCCGAACAACATTTGCTAGAAATATGTCGAAACATACAGGACACTGACTGGTTGAAAACAATCGGGATTAAACCGGATAATAATGTTCTCATTGCTACTAATCTCCGCAGCATTGGAAAAATCCTCTGGCGACAAGAAAAATATGATCAAGCACTTATCTTTCATCAACAAGCACTAGCAATACTCGAAGAATATTATCAATCATTTCATATCGATATTGCTCTAAGTCTTCTATACATAGGTCAAGTTCTTACATATCAAAACGACTACGATGAAGCTTTCGATTATTGTCAACGAGCTATATCAATCTATAAAAGATATTATCCAAATGGTCATGTACACATTACTTGGTGCCTTAACAACATCGGTCAGATTCTCTACCTTGAAGGCAAGCATGATGAAACTCTAATGATTTTTGAACAAGAATTATCAATGCTACAAAAGTGTTACAGATCTGGTCATGTCAATATTGGCGTTGTTCTTAATGAAATAGGAAATGTTCACTATGGACAAGGAAAATATTCTAAAGCTATGATATTTTTAAACAAGTATTGGAAATTCTACGGAAATATTATTTCCCTGGTCACAACGAAATTATTTGTATTCTAAACAATATTGGCTATGTACAAAAGGAACTAGGAAAATATAATGAAGCTCTTGATTTCCATCAACAAGCACTAGCATTTCAAGAGAAATATTATTCATATTATTATGGATATATTGCTAACACTCTCAATTATATTTGTGATGTACTAATTTGTCAATCAAAATATGATGAAGCTCTATGCTCTTGTCAACGAGCACTAACGTTGCAAGAGAACTATCATCCTTCGGGTCATGTCGTAATGGCATGCAGCCTCGGCAATATTGGTAATATCTTATATAAACAAGGAAAGTACAATGAAGCTATTGATTTTCATCAACGAGCACTAGCAATTATCGAAAAACACACGTCATATGATTATTCTTCCATTAGTTTTTATATGAACAATATCGGGATTATATTATGCACACAAGAAAAGTATGATAAAGCTCTTGATTATCATCGACGAGCACTTGAAATACAAGAAAAATATTGTCTATCATGCCAGAGAGAAATTGCCAAGAGTCTCAATTACATTGGTGATGCTCTCTGTGGACAGGAAAAATATGATGAAGCCTTCAAGTTTTATCAACGTGTACTCAAAGTTCAAGAGAATTATTATCCAAATGGTCATGTGGACATTGCGACAACTTTCAATAATATTGGCACAACATTGCGTCATCAACAAAAATTCGATGAAGCGATTAAATATCATCAAAAAGCAATAGAAATCCAAGAGAAATATTATTCATCAGACAGTATCATCATAGCAGATACCATCAATCGTATTGGTCATGTTCTGTACGATGAAAACAAGTATGATGCAACCATTGACTATTATCGACGAGCACTTTCAATACAAGAGAACTTCTATCCTGGTAATCACATTGAAATTTCTCATACTTTCACCTCCATTGGTAACAATCTATATGAACAAAAGAAGTATGATGAAGCTCTTCAATTTCATCAAAAAGCCTTGGCTATTCAAGAAAAACATTATGAATTTCCTCATCTTGAAATTGCACAGAGTCTAAATCGTATTGGTAATGTTCTATATAGTCAAGAGAAATATAACGAAGCCATTAATTTCTATCAACGATCATTAAGTATTCGAGAGAAATTCCATCCACTTGGTTATACTGGCATTGCTACTGTTCTTAACAATATCGGAAAAGCCTTTTATGAACAAAGAAAATATAATGAAGCTCTTGACTTTCATCAACGAGCATTAAGTATTCGAGAGAAATTCAATGCAACTAATCATGTTGGCATTGCTGATATTCTAATAGACATTGTCAATGTTCTAAGAGATCAACAAAAATACGAAGAAGCTATGAAATTTCAACGAAGAGTATTGACAATTCGAGAAGAAAATTATTCTTCATGTCATGAGAAAGTTGCAGAGTGTCTAAATCGCATTGATTTCCTATACACTCATCAAAAACAATATTATCTAGCACTCGATTATTATCAACGTGGTTTAACAATTCTTGAAAAGTGCTATCCATTGGATCATGTTGATATTGCTCTGAATCTCCGATCTATTGGTATCATCTTATATGAACAAGGGAAGCATGATGAAGCACTCGATTTCTGTAAACGAGCAATGACAATCAATGAACAATATTATCCATCGGGTCATGTAGATCTTGCTCTTTGTCAGGCTTATATTGGTAATATATTGAGTGATCAAGGAAAATATGATGAAGCTTTCGATTTTTATCATCGAGCACTAACTTTTTACAAGGAACATTCATCCAATCATTTGAATACTGCTACTTGTCTAAACAACATAGCTCAAACTTTAAAAAAACAAAGAAAATATGATGAAGCTCTCGACTTTCAACAACAAGCATTGACAGTTCTCAAAAATGACTCATCTAGTGATCAATTCAGAATTGCTACCAATCTCAAGGATATCGGTATTACTCTGTTTGAACAAACAAAATATGATGAATCTCTTAACTTTTGTCAACAAGCATTGATTGTATTCGAAGAATATTATCCCAATAATCATAGTGAAATTACTGTTTGCCTATCCTGGATTGTTGCTAACTTCGATAGAAAGTTCCAGTTCGATCTTGCTATTGAATATTTGGAAAGATGGTTATTAATTAAAGAAGTCAGTTCATCTTCAAAAGATATTTCCATCGTTAACGTATTTACGTGGTTGTCACAAGTGCAAAGAAAGAGAGGTCAACGTGATCTCTCCCTTATATATGAACAGAATTGTTTCTTGACGCGTCTCAAACTGCTACCACCAGATCATGTGGATATTGGCAATAGTTTATCGATCATAGGTAAAATTTACGAAAATCTTCATAAACCTATGTTGGCACTTAATTACTATCAACAAGCATTAGTTATCTACAGAAAATGTTTGAGTTCCTGGCATTATAAACTACGAGATATGGAACGAAATATTGAACGACTTTCGGAAGAACTTGAAATAGAACTCGATGAATCAAATTGAATTTTTAAATGTAATTTTTTCCTATTACATATTATTGTTATCAAAGTAAAGTGTTGATAGAAATATGACAATAAGAATATGTGAGACTATCACACGTGTTTGTTTGTCTAACGAAAGATAAAGTCATTTAGAATAGATCATTCATTCCTAAACAATCTAGGAATAAAATCAAGTACATATTTAGCTAGATCAGAAAGAATAACTTCATTCAATGCCTTTCCTAATCAATCTTATAGAAGTAGTCATAATTCGTATCACGATCACAAATAATTGTTTCAAGATTATTCACATTATATTCAACGCGCCATTCAAAAAAAAGTTTTGAATATATTTAAAATCAGTCTTTGATGTGAATGTGTTGGCGTAAGATTCTTAAATTAGAACTAAACCGATATTTTTATCGCGGTTATTTTCTGAAACAATACAAGAATGAAAAATGTTAAACTCAATTGCATATTAGTTAAAATATTTCATATCGATCTTTTATTGTATAAATTTGAATATAATTTTTTTATTTTCTTGATTTGATTTGTGTTTATCAATATATTTCCAAAAAATTTATTCCATATTTTGTATTATGCACACAAGGAATATATCGTACTACTCAGAAATCGTTCTCATTCAGTCATGATTCTAATTTAAAAATGGAAACATATTTGATTTATATTAAAATGAATAGTTCATCCATTAATTCAACAATTCGAATCGATGAGAAACATCTTTGAGAACATG